TGCAGGAGAGTGGTCCTGGAATTGAGAACCACTGACCTAAGTTAACTAATGTATATGAGTCAGAGTAGCTGTTAGATTTGACTGGAAGGGTAACTTATTGACTTGTTGCAAAAAATCCTGGCCAAGCATCCAGGGCTGTTGACTTTAATATGTGTTTACAAATCAATAAAAGTCAAACTTTTCTGTTTGATTCCTCTCTTTGGCTCATCTCATTTGTTTGTTTAGTCTTAAGGCCTGGCAGGGATCCATACAGTGTCAGTCTGAAGAGATTCGTGTCTGTTTGGTTACTTTCCTCTCTGTCTGCAGACGAGGGCTAACCTGTGAATCAGCGGACCGTTGTGGATCTGGTTTCAAATACTAAAACTGCTGAAACAACTTAACGGTAACGATGTGGAGTTTGGTGAATTCACTTTGGTCCGTGGTCTTGGCCTCCACCTTTCTGGTCCCAAGACGACTGTCCTACCACTGCACCACAGCCACCCAGGCCAGCAGAGAGACATGGTCTGTCCAGCACATCCTGTTTTATTTTGGGGTTTTTTTCCACCCGATGAGGTATATTGGCTAGAGGTGCTACATGACTTTCATGGTCAGAGAGAGCGTATTGTTTGGGCCAAGGACTATGACATGTTAAATTTAGGTTAACACATCAAAGAAACTAAGTTTGCTATTGACCACTATTGTTTTGATTTGATAGAAAAGCTTGTCAGTAAATATTAGTCAAAAAAATATGTTTCCAGTTTACACGTCTGCAGTAAATGATGTTTCTAATAGGCAGAAGCTAACCAATGAAAAACTAATATTTATACGCAATTAGAAGTTCAGCCATGATAAATTGTTTACACTGACAGCCCGCCCCTGCCAATATGGCATCGTGCTCGTACCAGTGGTCAATCTTTTGAAGCATGCATGAAACCTCCAGTCAACACACATTGTTTTTTTGTTTCCTTTTGATTTCCATTTAGTAGGAAACACTCAGTTGTAGATTCAAATCCATTGGTAATTGAGAGTTTCATAATCCATTGATTGCTTCATGAGATATTTTTGCAAACAATTGTTGTTGTTTGGCAACGATTATGTTTTAAGTAAAATGTAATGTGAAAGTATGTGTTGGGGATGATATTCAGCTACTACCATGCCAAATTTTAGCTCATTGTTTTTGAGTTTTAGCCACTTTTGTCTTTTGGAAGGTCAGTATGCATTATGAACCAAATTTCAATAAAATTAATTTAAACATACACATTTAATATCCTTCATTTTCCAGGGAAATCCCACTGAGAGCTCTCTTTTTGCAAGAGCAGCCTGGGTCTGAAATCAACCTAGCATGCATGTTTTAGGTCTGTGGGACAAACCAGAATACCTGAAGATAACTCAAGCAAGAACAAGGAGAACTGCAAACTCCACAGAGAAAGAGCCTAGGTATCGAACCAGAGATTGAACCAGGGCCTGTAAGGCATCTGTGCTAACTACTGAGCTTTCTGCTATGTAACAAAATTATAAGGCAACTATTAAAATTGTACTAATTTGTGTGCAAGTTTTGTTTGTAAGGTGATAATGTATCTCTAACTTGTTCGTTTGTTTATTTGTTTGAGTATTAATTCCTAGTTGTTCATAACTGACAGCAAAGAAAGTGAAAGAACTGCAGGAAATCTATGGAGAATATTAAAAACATTGCGAGGTCTCTGACTCAGAATCTTTTGCCCAGCAGTCTGCCTCCCACCAACCTCTGCTTCCTCCTTATGAAAGTTTGTGGTCACATGAGTTGTTTTAAATGAGAACATCATCATATTGTGGGGCATCAAGCATGATGGATGGATTCTAATTTGGCCACACAGTCAAGGATGGGCAGCTTGAGCAGCATTAGGAGGCAGCTTTTGGGAGGTTTGGGGGGTGGGGTAGCTGTTTTCAGCATGATGGTGCCTGATGTTTTACTGAGTGAACTCTGGCTGTGATGCTTCTGTCAGGAAGGAACTGTCAGGGGGCGACTGTGGTATAGTGGCAGAGCGTTTGACTTGGGATCAGAAAGTCATAGGTTTAACTCCCCACTAAACTCTCATGTCATAGTGTCCTTGAGCAAGACACCCAACCCCTAACTGCTCCCCAGGCACTTACATAGCTGCCCGCTGCTCCACCTGGGTGTTTCTCACACGTGATGGGTCAACTGCAGAGCACACATTTCATCATGGGAACACGCATTGATGAATAAAGTACCTTAAAAAACAACTGGTCTTTTTCTGGCAATATTATTACTAATCATGAAAGGTGGGTGTTGATGTAATTGTGTGTTTTTGTCTGTCTGTTAGCATAATATCTCTTGATCTAGTGGGTGCATTTTAATGACATTCTCAGAAAGCAATTACTAGATGTACTACATCTACAATAGCTTTTGGCAATATGGATTGTTTTAGGTAATGTTGATTAATTAATAATATAAAATATTATTATTATAATTATTATTATTATTAGTAGTAGTAGTAGTAGTGGTGGTAGTAGTAGTAGTAGTAGTAGTAGTAGTAGTAGTAGTTTTTAATTAGTGACAGTGCAATTAAAAATAATGCATTTAAAAAAAGATATTTGCCTTGCACACAGGACTAAAGGCTAATTTGATAATAGCTCCTGGTCTGACTTTTAAGAAAACTGAATCTTCTGAATTTAAAAACTCAAAAAGGCTTGAAGTGTATTTTAATGATGACTGTCCTTCTGGGTCTCCAAGATCTCAGCAGTTATGGAGTGCTTAAAGAAATAACTCTGTAGGCAAAAAAAATATTCTTGAACAGTGAGGTTTATTCAGAATAACAGCCTAAACCAGAGAAGCCCAAAGTGGGGCCCGTGGGCCAAATTTGGCCCGCCAAGCCATTTGATTTGGCCCACCAACAGTTGCCAAAGTTAGAAGGTTGTAACCTGTTATCCTATGTAGAAACACAGTATTTCCATTGGTCAAATGACTATATAAAAGTGCTGTAGTGAAGGTAGTTTTCAGTCATGGTGCTGCCTTTATCTTTGATTTATTAGGATTAAACATGAAACATGAAATGACAACAAGAAATATTTAGATCATATTTAAAACCACATGTAGATTTGTACACTTTATAAGGCCACAAAAACTCATATTTTATCAATTTATGAAATGTCCCATGAGCCTTTGCTACTTGAGCATATGGCAGACCTTCTCCAAGTGCACAGACTAAAACAAAAGAGGGCCATTGCACAGCTTAATCGTTAAAAATAAAGGACTTTACTAAAAAAAAGTATTTGTATTTCATGTGTTGTATAACTGCATTTGGCCTGCAGCCGTGGATAGATTTTCATTTTGGCCCCCTCGGGGAAAATGTTTGGGCATCCCTGGCCTAAACCAAATCAAGAGACTTCGGGCCAATTATGTGAAGTACTCCCCAGAACTTTCTGGGTCACCCCTTCTTATAACCTTCTACCACACCCAGATGTAAACAAAGCAGGATCAACCTACATGCATTCCATCTACGGTAAAGGAATTTGCTCCTGAAATGTATTTTAAGACACACAAACATGTTTACCACTGAAAGCTGTTTTTTTAACAAATGAGCTAAGGATGAGCTCATTCTTCCCATCCTTATAAGGAATTGCTGAGTTGTTAATTTAAGAATGAACAACTGCTTGACTGAAACACAAGGGTGACTTCATACACCTCAGGCTAAACAAATAGGAAAGATTATCACTAAATCAATAAATACCAAATGGAAATTTCGTAGCTTGTCTGTAAATCACAGAACAGCAGGAAATATGTGACAGAATATTATCACATCACAAGCAAACGTGAAAATGACAGCTGACCTAAAAATAACCTAAATATTTGACCTTATTTACTTTTTGAACTTTCCTCTGACCAAGAGCATCACTAACAG